TAGTTAGAGTTACGTTTAACACCGCATACAATGTTGAATTCAAATGTATCTATGATTATTGTTTTCGTTATTTTAACGGAATGTTCAAAACTGCTGATTAAAATCACCATTTCTATAGTTAATTATTATATATAAAAACAATAAGTTTTAGGAAAATTTAGATCAATTGTTTTTGAGAAACTTGAGGTGCGCAATTAAAGTTTTTTCTATTAACAAAATTAAATATAACTTAAAATAATATTATATTTTATTGTTCAATGAAAAATTAATTAAACATGTATAAATGAGGATAATCATGCAGAAATAAAAACGTACTGCTTACCATTGAAATTCAGAGTAGTATTCAAACAAAAATAAATTTTACAGTTTTGGTTTCTATGGCATAAATACGTTAAGTACGAGTTTGTTTTAGAATTTTGCTTTATTTTTTTTGGACATTTTTTCAGGGCAGTAAAAATCCCTGTACAAAATAGATAAATTAACCACGTTTAGACATTTTTTAAAGTTTGTATACTTAAAATATGATAGTTACTTGTTTTTTTTTTAGAAAAATACTGAACGACTGAGACAAAGTCTTAACGTCAAAGAAATATAAGAAAGTGTGGACGTTGGTTTTTATTCAATATCATAATACATTTTTAGCACGTACACGCAACTCTTGACAGATTCAATAAATTTAAAACAAAATATTTAGTGCTGTTATTCAATAAAATATACTATAATTTTTTTTCTTATGTAAACTCTATGTTTATTACCGAGTAATTAAGTGCAATTTGTAGAAAGAAATTGTGTAGAATTTGAAGAATTTTTATAGATATTTATGTGCGATGCAATGTCAACATAAGAACACTGCACTTATATTCCGTTTTTATCTCGAAAGCATTTCTTAAAATTGTTTATACATTTAGAAACCTTTTTAGGTCAGTACCAATTATTTCTGGGCTAACCTTTTTTCTCTCGCACCCACAGCTTTATAATTTATAGAATACTCAACTTTTATAATAATACTTGTCTACGTAGATCAATCGACTATCATCATTATAGTTCTATCAATAATTTTTAACATTTTTAGTTATATGAAATGAGGATAAGAAACATACCCGTGGACAATTTGGTTTTAATTTTGAGAAATTATTAAACTTGTACAACATAATAATTTATTGACATGTCGATATGGTCGATATGGATATGACTTAGATCTTAAATTACACGTTATAATATTATGTCTATATGTAATATTCGACGAATATCGCTCCTGGCTGGCGCCTTAAGTAATATTATCTTTCGTATACTATAGTATCGCCCGGGAATGAATATATTGGACAAGGTAGGTAATGCAGTCTAATAATTGTGGCAGGCGTATAATAAAATATTGTATTATAATTGGTCGTGTATTTTGTGTTCAGCGGTTAATTATCAATCTGCCTACTGATCGAATTAAACCGGTCGTAATCGTACTATTATAATGTATTACAGTTCTATGGCGGAACGAAATCGGCAACACATAATAATAGTAAATGATTGTCCGACGAGTCTAGCCGATATTCGCAATGCTAAAGACTAGGGGGCGTTATGCACTTATAACCGCATACCGAGTAATATATTGTGTTTGGTTGCTGCGATGCCTTTCATTGTTGCATCTTTGTGCAGGCAGACCCGCAAATATATAGGAATAATAATACACTGTTCTACACGGCGGCATTGTGTTTTTTGACCCGTGCAGCTCGGATCGAGTACCCGCCAATCGGATCAATTATCACGTCTCTTACCATATTATACGGCTAAACGTTATATAATATCGTAACACGAACGTGATTCAACAGACGATGTTGTATCAATATTATACATATTTGATGCATACTATATTACAGCGCGCTCGTATAATAATATATTAAAACTGTTTAAATGTATTATTTACTATTTTTTGGTTCGCTGAAATGCTGAATCATATTTAAAACATAACGTACTATAAAATGTCTAATAAATACCATGTATACTGTGTGGTGAGCTATGGCCTATATGGGTACCTACTACGATGGTATTACATCCTCAGCGGTGGTCCGATGTTTAAAGTCGCACAATAATGACAAATAATAACACGCTTGATGTTGCGTTCAATATATTACCGTGGCAGGTAATATTGGAATAATAGAGCGATAGAATATAATATTATTATTGATTGGTATATAAAGCACACCGGTTTCAGGAGGATTTTAAATTAAATAATCAACAACTGATTCAACAATGTTGAAATCGAGCGCATGTAGGTTTGCGATACGCCGATACGTTCGTTTTTTGTATAAAGTCTTACACGACCAGTACGGATTTTTATCATCGTATTTTTTTATTCAAACCAACTATTGCGTTCGTCGTACTTAGTATAACGTGTTCGAAAAATATCAGCATCGTGCCCATGATTCATATCAAGAGCTATCGATGGTTCTAACTTGAATGTGTACATGTGATTGATAAAATAGCTATTAATATAATGCGTTTAACACTGCTTAGAGTTATTAATCGTCTTCAATTTTAGCCCACGATAATAATATATATTGTATGTATTTTAATTGAAATGAAATATAATTTGTACCAATATTATTTAAGTTGTTTATTTTACTAGTAATGAACGCAATGACAAAAAATAAATAAATACTATTAATGATGGTATAAAGAAAACTATTTTTTCTCTAATTTATGCTTTAAAAAGAAAATATGAGAAGAAAAACAATATAGGTAGGTAGATATTTATATAAATTAAAAAAATTAAGCTACCACTAGTTTCAACTATTATGAGTTTAGGATCTTCGTTTTAATGTTCAATAAAAAAAAAAATAATAATAAATGAGAAAGTATCTAATATAAAGACAACGAAAATAATTGTTGAATATTTAAAGGTATGCCTTTTAAAACAGCAGATTAATTTAATTTTGAGTTCCTACATACATTTTTAAAAGCAATATCTTACTTTCAATTGATTAGTTTTAAACATATAATACAATACTTTCTAACTATAAGTTATAAAATTCGATGTGAAGTGATTTCCTTCGGTGTGTAGAGTAGAGCTTTACAACTTTTGTAAGGACATTAGACACAAACATGTAATTTTTCACAATATAACAATAAAATAATAATATATATATACGCTCTGTCGGGCTCAGTACAATATAGGTACAAATAATGATAAAGTAGTTGTTTCCCAGGCATTTGCGAAAAAGTACTGATACCAGTAAATATATACAGGATACCGACAGAGATACTGCTATTTTATGTAATGACAATTATAAAAACCTTAAGCATTATTTTATAATTATCTTTTATTTATACTGAAGGTTCATATTTTAGTATTTTTACTATTTTCATTATAATTGTTGTAAACTTTTTGAAAGTATTATGTTTTTGCTAGTTTTTATTATAGAAAAAGTGTTAAGTATACACAAGATTTATCGGGAAATAGTAAATTTTTTTAAAATAATATTATCATAAATGTTAAAAATATTCAAACTATGATTTTAGAAAATAATATTAATTGGTTTTTATATTTATTTTTATCAAATATGTAAATATAGTCTTATAGAATTGCAATATGTTTATTCAAGATACATAGTTTGATTTTTTTACAATCGTTTATCGTTTATAAAACGTCTTATTTAAATACATAATAATATAATATTATGCTCAATCTATTTGATGGATATTTAAATGAAATTTGTTATTATTGGATTACATGTTATAAGAAAATTACATAAGCTTTTTCCAAGATAAGTGCTTAACGACCAGTATTTTCTCTGTGGCTAATAAATAATAATATTCACTACCTATTATTTCCATAATAAAAGTATATCTTTAATTGCTTAAATTTATAAACAAAATGAAACCCACAAATTTCTGAATAAGTTTAAATTTAAATTCTTGCAGCTATTTACATAACACAATTTCAATCTAAAGTCATCTGTTGAGACTAAAAACAAGTGGTTTTGATGTATTATTTTGTAAAGCTTCAAAAGCCGTTGTCACATTTGAGATAAAATAAATATTGTTTTTCTTTGTTTCAATATTTGTATTTTATGAAACAATATCAATTTAGTTTAATTATATAATAATATATAATAAATTTGTAATAACTTAGAGACTAGAGTAACAAGTAATAACTATTTTAATAGGTAATTACTATTATTTTAATAATAATTTAGTCATTTTAAAAAATGTTCGTAAACTTGAAATTATATAGAAGAATATTGTACTATGCATAAGTTGTTAAGTGTTATTATATTATGGCAATTCGTAGGAAAAGGTTAGAAACAAAACAATTATCAATAATTAGTGAAAAATATTTGATAATTTGCTTTATGTTACCTACCTATTAAAAATGACAAATAAAGTTAGCTCAGTTTATTTCAAAGTGAGCCGTTCTTGGTCAATGAGTTTGAGGTAAAAGAAGTATAAATAGGATCATCTAACCCTTTTTTCACTGAAAAATTTGTTTTTTTTTAGTAAAAAAGTCTTTGAAATCTAAAGCGAACAAAACGAAAATCCGACTTTTTTCATGCACATCTAGTGTACATGACGTATCTGGTGTTTAAAAACAGGCGAGGTCGAGTGAATTGGAGCAGTGGTCTACCCTCCAACCAAGTAAAATGCGTTTAATATTACACGGTGACCGTGAGGAGACGAAATTAGCGTGTGTAAGAAAAAAAAAGTTTAAAAAAAATGTAATATCTGTATGACTACATGGAAAATGATAAATTATCAATGTACATCCGGTTCAACCTTAACCGCGGCAATGATGGCGCGAGGGGCGAGGGGGTCACCGGCGACGGTGGCCGGGTTTGACGAGAACAACAGTGGCATTACGTCTAAACCTCGAAAAAAATTAACTGAAATGGTTCTTACACCCGGCGACGAGGCCTGAGGACAAGTAGGGCGTGTTTGGTGCGTTTGTCCTTCGTCCTCGCCGAAAAACCGCCAAAGCCCCCTTCTCCCCTGTCGGATACCCGGTAAACCACCATCGCATCGAGACTATATAAATCGGTTCACCCACATTTGCCAACTATCAATCACCAACGTTTGATCTGTAACTGTCGCAATTCAAGCACACAAATACAGCCACTAAAACCATCAAAATGGCATACATGGTAAGTAACTTTAATGGATAATATTATATAATTTATAAGTTAAATTTTGTAATAGGTACGTTTTATACACTTATGGAAAGTTTGGTTTTGAAAAAAAAATGAATAAATAAATAGAATATATTTTTCGAAGCGTATGCATCTTTCATAACTTCACGCTCCCCGCAATCCTATAGCTTTCGTTGTATTCCGCGTGTTCCGTTGTATTCCGCATTGCGTCTTTTTACGACCAGTCTTTGCATCCGGTATTATACGTGGTTTCAGCATTATTCTGTATAGCTGTTTGTTATTACTACTAATTAATGATTCTGTTTAAAGTAAGACTTTTTGCGATGTATTATTCTGGTGCATAGAAATAATTAACCGTTTTACTGATGATTTTCTGCATATTTTAGTTCGCAATTATTGACCATCATGATTGTAGTAGTTTCGAGCAATTTGTTATGACTAAATTTAAATTTGCATAGGTACCCCTAAAAATGCAATATAGCTTTATTATTTGATTCGCAGAGAAATGAATCGTTATTCAATGTCGTTATCCAATTGAAATTGGACGAGGTAAATTTTTAATACATTTACATTCTGTGGTGTAAAAAATGTGACATAAAAATGTACAACTTTTGGCTATCATCGTGCGCGTATATAATACTGTAACAGTGTAACACACCCTCATAAAATAGTTTAGTGCAATTTGGTAAAAATTATGTTCCTAGTAATTCAAGAATTTATTTTGTACTTATCTTTCTTTCTTATTTCTATGAATTCATTAATATTTATCATTATTATTCATCGTTAAAATAAATTCACATTTTATTTAGTCACGTTTCCAAAATACTTAAATGCTTAAACTTATTTTGTTTTGACTAGGTTAAATGTATTAATAAACTATCAGTTATTTGCCCACTAAGGTATAATATAATAAATAATTATGTAATAAAATAAAGTCTATATAAATACCAATGTGTATATAATATAGTTTCTTCGTATATTTTTATTACAAAACTTATGTAAGACGTAGTTCTGGAAAACGTAATTAAATTAAATTACTTACAATTCATTTTATAGTACTGCTATGTTCTTTAAAAATCGACTACATTAAGTTATCATTTTCAAACATTTTTTTTTAGTACCTACCCACATATAATAAATGTATGTATACAACAGTGATTAAATACACCCTTAATAAGTTATTCAAGTAACATAATTAAAGATTTTTTATAAATTTTGAATTTATCACCCTTTAATAGAGTTTTGACTGACAATACGAGATAATCATTGTTGTTCATTGATTAACTTTTAATTTTCTTGTAAAATATTAAAATATTGTTTCTTTTTAATATTGAAATAGTCGATAATATATAATTAGTCAAAAAAATAATAGTTTGAAGTTGGTCACTTATCTTATGATATTACATCAACGGTAAGAATAACATTAAAATACTCACATAAAATCAACCAAAGTTATTAATTATTATAAAAACAATATTAAAAATAAAAGTTTTGTTTATGTTATATTTTTAAATATTTAAAATCTTGACAAGTACGTACTGGTAAATGAAACAAACCGATACATTGAATACATTTTTTTAAATTAAGTATTCTAATATTCGTCGTGTACTAATTTAAATGTTTATTTGTATTGGAAAAACCAATTGCTGGTTAATAAGTTGAATATTGTATTATGCATAAAGTATACAAAATTATAGCTTATAACACAACAATAATGGTACTTTTATTTTGGTTATAGTTCGTAGTCATCGCCGCCTCCATCTTGGCCACCGCCTACGGATCTCCCGTAGCAGCACCCATCTACGCCGCTGGCCCAGCTTACTCTGCACCCGCATACTCTGCTGCCCCGGCATACGCTGCACCCTCTTCATACTCTGCTCCTTCTTACAAACCCGCTTACAAACCAGCAGCATACGGACACGAATCTTACGATGCCCCAGCTCCATACAACTTCGAATACAGCGTAAACGACCCACACACCTACGACGTCAAGAGCCAATCTGAATACGCCGACGGAAACGGTTACGTCAAGGGATCCTACAGTCTGGTCGAACCCGACGGTTCCACCCGCACTGTCGAATACACCGCTGACGACTACAACGGTTTCAACGCCGTCGTCAAGAAGGAAGGTGGATACGCTGCACCAGCTTACTCTGCACCAGCATACTCTGCACCAGCCTACAAGGCCCCAGCTTACGCTGCCCCAGCCTACTCTGCACCAGCCTACAAGGCCCCAGCTTACGCTGCACCAGCTTACTCTGCACCAGCCTACAAGTCCCCATCTTACTCTGCCCCGGCCTACAAAGCCCCATACTCCGCTCCCTCATACTCCGCCCCAGCCTACAAGGCCCCGTCTTACTCCGCACCAGCTTACTCCGCCCCAGCTTACGCTGCCCCGGCTTACTAAGCTAAACATTTGACTTTTCAAAATCAAAATGTCACTTCTAATTTATTGTTATTTATTTATTTAAATGTAAATATAATAAACAATTAATATTTGCAAATCCGTAAAACTCGAAGTGTATTTATTTATTTATTTATATTAAAATCCTATAATGGCTATTTCGTATCATACGAATAGCGTAAAGAGTATAGTAACCAGAATATAGAACAATAAATAAATAGTATATTTATGTGTCAAATTTAAAAAAAAATGTGATTGAATTTATCATTAAGGTTTAAATTTAATGTATTTAATGTGAGTACGGTAATAGTGATCCAATTACGAACGACTTAAAACTTTATAACACATTGCACAATTTTTAGTGAAAAAAGTGTATAAGCCATGGAGAGAGGATAAATATAATTATTTGTAAATTACGGCTTTGGACGTTGCTCAAATGTGGAACTACAAGAGTTTATTAACCATTGAGTAATACATTTGCCCTTGATCCAGTGGATTTAAGCGATCAACTTGCTAACTATGGCTGCTACATAAATCAATGTCAAATATATTGTACACCTATAAGATCACCTCAATATAAGATTATTAACTATTAAGTGTGAATGGATGACTATGAATGAGTTGGATTATGTTAAGTTGAAAGAAAACCTGTGAAATATCTAATGATATATATCTGCAACAAACATTAACTACAATGAGGCCGATATATTTGTGTTAGTAACTAGGTATATAGTTACTTAATTTCAAGGAAAAATTATAGGCAAATGTTTATTTCAATATGCTACTATTCAAATGTATTGTAAATTTAAGCGGGGTTTTCCTTTAGGCATCTGTTCCAAACAAAAAAAAACTTGATACTACCCATGATATTATAAGAAAATCTTTGAATTTTACATTCAGAACAACTGTTTGTTATTATATTATTTGGTCATTATCATAGAAGGGTAAGCTAAAGTATAGAGGATTTTCTTAAGATAATTAATTTATACCATGAATAAGTATTTAATTATTTCCGTATAGTCATTGTATATTAAGCTTTGATAGTGCGGCGAGGCTGCATTGATAATTTTTAAAGGTGCGTATAAAATGTAGTAGACTACATTTCTAGGTCAATGATTATATAACAACATGCATGTTAAAATTGCTTCAAATTATTTTCACATAAATAACAATAAAAAAATAATATAAAATAATAACAATCAATAAAAAACCATTTTTGGCCAAAAAAAATATTTATTATTAGCACGTACAATAAACTGATGGCCAATAATATTATTTTTTTTTTAACATAAAATGTGTGTTTTCCATTTTCCATGGGTAACTTTTTACTTTGATTAAAACAATGACTAAATAATTATTTACAGTTACGTATTTATATACCAAAAAGTAATGTGTAAATATAACTACTTGACCACTGAAATATTAATTATTATACTAATATCTGATTCAAATAATATATTACAAAAAAATGTTATCAACATTTAAGCTTATCTTTTTTTTAAAAACATAATTGTTAGTATCATGTATAATATTGAAATAATATGTTGACATACTTTAATCATGTACTTATTTCTCTTAGTCAAATATTTAATCATAATGATAGAATTCGCAATATTTTAAACAGTATCGAACTGGGTGGTTTGTATTGACTATGTAGCCATTATTTATATATCTATATTAAATTGCAGTACTTATTTTAATATATTGTTGGCAAAGAATTGTATGTTTAAATATATCAACAATCATATTTTACGCATTCAAACTCTGTAAAAAAAAAAATAATGTCACTATAGCACTGATGATTCCATCATCGCTCTAACAAATGACAGTGCTATAAATATTACACATTCGAATGGTTATAAAAGAATATGTTACCAAGATTTAATAATCTCCAAAACGACTAACCATTAATCAATCAATTGTTTGATATTTTGTTGCACCTATACTATTACCATATTATATTTCAGACCAATTTATTACACACAAGTGACTAGTTAGTTCTGAAATTACCTTATCCCTGAGGACAATATGCTGACTAGGTGCATCAATTATTAATGCGCATGTTCCAAAATATGTTGATCGTATTACGGTTTTGTAACCACTAATGGTATACGTTCATAGTATTGTATACATATTACATATGTGTAAATATGTGAATTTATATGCATATGCGTAGATTGTATTATAAGTTATAACTATTATAACAATAACTTAAATACGTATGAATTCGTATGAATTCTAAGCCAACAACGACTGACCTAATGAATGCAACCAGAATACAATAAATAAAATGGAAAAATGCACATTGCACACGCGAACGAAATTATATTCCTAAAATGAACGCAACACGGAATAACATTTTATGACGAATTGTATCATATTCCATAACGTGAATAAAAAAATATCAATTAGTTTTTCATCAGCAAACACAAAAAACAATGAAATCAAATCTCGTAAAAATACTAAACAAATATCCAAGCACCGTAAGATATGAGTCCAAAATATTTAACACTATACTTTAACAAATTGTTGGTGTAATAATAGAAGGCTAAATAATTATTATTGAGTTCAATGTAGTTTATTTAAGAACTCACATCAAGGAATTCAATTACGTTTGCTTTGTTTTATTACTTAACCTATAATCAGAGTTAACTTCGTCTCGGAAATTATTTATTTGTTGGATATTACTAAAAAAAAGTTTGTAACTGAGTATCTCAATCCGCGTTATAATTGTGTTTATAAAACGCCAACACTAACACAATAAAAACTGAGACAATAATAATAAAACGTCAAACTATTCAATGATGAATGAATCAGCTGTTGTACCTCATAATACGACAATTCGTCAATGTGTTGCAGTTGAGTTGTTACCTAGGCTTAAATGTGTAAAAGGTTTATACACTACAAAAGTTGGAATACTATCAAGTATCAATATTAAAACATATAGCAACTTTAATAATTGATTATATTCCGCATTCATAATATAATATTTTATTTTTTATGAAACTACCTATAATAGTTAATAAATATCTTTTCTTCAAAAGTTTAATTATACTTCGGGTTGTAATGAAAAAAATTACTTTTATTATTTTCAAACATTAAGTTACAACTTTAATATCTGAAACAATTTTCTGTAATTCAAACATTTCAAACAGAATCTTTAAATAATGATAATAGTTACTGTGTATTGGTGGTTACATTTATTTTATTGAAGAATTTCTTACAGCAAATATTACGTTTTAGATGATACCAAATTTTACCGAATTTTGTAACTCTAACACGTATCAAAAAATTCAAAATTGTCTTCGATAAATTCTCAATTTTAACCTAACATAATCAATTATTGTGTTAAGTTGTTGTTTATATTTTTAAGATAATATAAGTGTTTCTTTTGACCTGGGATCATAAGAAATTCGTTTAAAAATTTTTTTATTACACGTATTGTCGGTTGCTATGGTGACATCATTCTTTACTATGATGTACGCGTAATTTATACATACCTATGCCAAACGAAATTCGTCTTAGAATTTCTCGTCATTAAAATGGCATGTTATGATTCAATGTATTTCACACTCATTGCGTTTAAATAATTTTTTTTTTGAATTTTGGCTATTATGATGATTTTTCCAGACCTGTTTTTTGTTTTAAATCGTAGTTAATGATTTATATATTTTTTTGTTTTATCCTTATTACACTGTTACCTTTTTAATATATTAAATAATTTTATAAAAGTTGCATTAGAATGTGTTTGTAAAATTTGTCTCGCCATGTCCCTATCGTAAAAAGCTTAGTTTTGATAAGATCATATACATTTTCAAACTATATGCGAAATATAAAATACGTCGTCGTCAATCTAAAACGTTTTAGATAACGCTATGGCTAGGTATCTTTATAGTTGTTTCGCGATGAACGAATACGACATTATAAAATCATTACATTCTCGTCTTCGATAAGAATCATAGGTATATTATATTATTATGGTGTTAACTGTTTAGTCAATATCAAAAGTCAACACCCAGTCATCACTTGCTATTATGTATGTTCTATAACATCTACACTAATATAGGCACATAATAATATGTTTATCAAGTCCTATAATCGCACAAACCAATATTATTGTTTGAAATAATAATGCTTAATTAACATAACTATACTTACCACAATTTTATGTAATTGGAACACCATATAATAATTATTACCCTGTCCGTCCATTATTAAACTTAGCATCAAATAGTAACGGTAAATAATAATTCAGAGATTATTGATACGTTGTTGTGTTCACTCGTATACTCAAACCTACCCATATAATATTTCATAATACACCTGAGCATCTTTTGTTTGATTATTTGGTTTTGGGATAGTTAGCACATATTCAACGAGTTATTTTTATCGTCGTGCCTCGCGTGTGTTGCATGAAGTGACTACAACATTTCAAAAAAGTTAATAAACGCGTATAATTGCAAGTGAATACTTAAATGAGTACAGCAAGACACGTATGAATAACTTATTACCTAATTAAATGTTAACATACGTCGAGTATTCAAGCATTGAAAAAATATATCAACGATCTCCATCATAGACTTGCCAATTTCAGTATTATTTAATGTTTGGTACTTGACCTAATGCTTAGGGTAATCCTTTAAGGGTCTGCTATTTAAAAACTGTCTGACGTAACTTTCAAAACATAATGGATATGTTTTTCGCGTTACTTGCAGGTAAAACCACCAGCCGGCTAGTCTCTTCCAGTCTCCAGACTCTTGTATATAAAATTATAAGTATCACACATAACATAAAACTTTTTATAAACTGAAAAATACTCGGTTGTTATAATCACATAATATTCTATATTATATTCGTGGGTACGTGTGGCCATAATTTTCCTGTCCAAAATAGGGACACATTTTAAAAGTTTTTAAGAACTACCGATATTATTGGATACAATTTATTATAAAACGCTTCCCACGTAATTATTATGCTAATTGATTTAATTTTTAATATGGATAAATAGTGAAATAAAACATTTCAATACTCATTTTTACAAGACTTATTAGTTGTTGGTACATAATTGTTGGTATTTATAATATAATTATAATAATAAATTGATGATTGAATAATGATAGTGGTCACTAACTGAATAGTGTACCTAAATTGTATGGGTCTAACCATGGACTACTTACATAGTAAAATATTTATTTACCAACAAATTATTAAATAAAGAATGTATATATTTCATTTTCACGAATGCGGGACAAAAGCGGGGCGATTGTGGGGGCCACACTAATGTGGGACTTTTGGTGTGTGTGGTCTTTTGAAATTTATTTTTTAGAGCGAGAGATTCAATGCGCTATTGCATTTACTCGTACCTATGTGTGCACCATAACTCATAAATCGGCAAAAATTGTGTAACTCGTTTATATTTTAAATAGTGACAAATTTAGGGCACTCGTAATTCTACAGAATTAAAAAAAAAAACACTATGCCAGAGGTAAACACACAGCCTTGGTGATGGATTATTGTTACATATTTAACATAAAAGCGTTGGTCGGTCACACGCTATGGGACCGGCTCGCGGCTGTTGGGCACAATCGGCTGTCTCCGTGGGGAGTGGCCGTTTTAAAATTTCTTATAAAACATTACAATATTACATACACCTCGGGGTAGGTCATCGTATGTGACTTACAATGTTTTTTGTGTCGTTGGTCTGAGAAAAAAAAACAAATGGAAAAGTGCTTGGACATAATATATTATATTTTAATAAGTAGATCACCAGCAGTATAAATACAACAGTAACAGCAAGGTTTCGATCAATATTCTGTCCGAAACAGATCACATACAACTCAAATCACACACAACTCAATCAAACAATATGGTTTCTAAGGTATGTGGTTTTTATTTTATGTTATTCGTTGTAAATTATTTTAGTAGAAAATATTATTATTTTTTAATCAACTCATTCTTCTTTAATATAACTAATAACCGATGTTTATATTTTTATTTCGTTTAATTAAAAACGACCACTAGTGACTAGGTAGTTATTATAATGTATTTAAATTAAATGCTTCATTATGAAATTCAATGGTTTAACACTTTTACCAATAATTTTAAATTCTCGATTGTTATCCACGATATTGTTGTTGGTGCTTTAAAGCCAATAGTCTCTGATGATTTCGGAGTTCTACAGTCGTTGAATAAACAATCGAATTCCAAAAATATGAAAGAACAATGGCCCGTTGTTGGACCATCAATAACGTTTACATAAATATTGATTTTTGTCCATTTTAATTATTCAACCAGATTCTATTTTGTTTTGTGTTTATAGCAGTTACGCGTTTGTTGTTTTTATAGACTCTCGTTCAAAATAATATGTTAAATTATTCACATTGGCGATTACATCGTCGCACACGTATCAGTCATTTGATAGAGATAATTATTGTTAAATACAGAACAACTCACGATATTATGAAGTAGGTATAGTTATAGCTTATACGAGTTATACGTATAGGTACTAATAAAAATCGTATATTGATACATACTTAGAACAGACATTATTTAATCTTTGAATATTCAATCGAAAAATAACTCGTTTGAGAGTGTTTATTTATTATAAAAAGTTATATTATCATACAAAAACGTGTGCACAGATCGGCAATACGCGATTGTTTTGATCACGCGGGTACCTACGTCATAGATTCGTACCAAAATAATAATAATCGTATGTTACGATCGCAGGTCGTGATTTTGGCTTCAGCCATGTTGGCCGCCGTCGCCGGATCTCCAGTTTACCCGTCACCCTCTTACTCGGCACCCGCTTACCACGCACCCGCCGCCTACTCCGCGCCCGCTTACCATGCACCCGCCGACTACTCGGCACCCGCCCCGTACAGCTTCGAGTATAGCGTAAACGACCCACACACCTACGACGTCAAGAGCCAACACGAGTACAGCGACGGCAACGGATACGTCAAGGGCTCTTACAGCCTTTTGGAAGCCGACGGTTCCACACGCACCGTTGAATACACCGCCGACGACTACAACGGTTTCAACGCTGTCGTCAAGAACGAAGGTGGATACAAGGCCCCAGCTTACTCTGCACCAGCTTACTCCGCACCAGCCTACAAGCCAGCATACTCTGCACCAGCCTACTCGGCTCCGGCTTACAAGCCAGCGTACTCTGCACCAGCCTACTCGGCTCCGGCCTACAAGGCTCCGTACAGTGCCCCAGCTTACAAACCAGCTTACTAATGACTATACGTCTGTCATTTTCACGTGTCACCGTCCTGCGTGATGAGTTCTGTCTTCTTCTTTAATTTATTTCAATTTCCTTCTCATTGTTTATTTATTTGCGGTAGATTAAAAAAAAACTATGCGCCCGTTAGGAAAATGGCATTTTTTTTTTTACTGTTCCACTTCATCATAGCTACTGCATGCAGCTTCTACGGCCGCGACCACGATGGATTTGAAAATTGTTTCGTCACCACTGCCGAAAACTATTTAGGTCGTGCCATGCTTAAGGTCACCGGAAGATCGTCCAGAATACTGGGCTCGTAGCTTTTCGACAAATTGAAATTCGGGTAGGCAACGCAGTTATGTTTTTTGCGCTGCAGTTGCATATAACTGCGTAATAATTGACGTTCAGTTGTGCACTTATGCGTGAGATTGATGCGTGGTCTCCGGACTTCCCGGAGGCACGGACCTCTAGTGATTAAAAAAAGCAGTTAGGAACATGATTCTGTAATGGTCCGTGTGAAATCCGTTAAAAACGTGAGTACTTGTGTGTTCAGTAGGTACTTGCCAACATGTGAGTATTATGTTTCAAAAATATATTACTCTGCAGATTGTGTGACACGTTACAAAATCAAACATTCCATTGTTGATATTGTTATTAAGAAAGAAGGCATTATCCACTTCTGTATTAACTGTTGAAAATCTTTACAACATTAATTTTCAAAAATGAAATTATATTATATGAAAAAGGTTCTTAGTTTGATTTGCACTGAATATGCATCTAGCTCTGAATATTTTATTTCACGGAAATAATAATAATATATTTATATTTTTATGAATTGGTGAATCTAAATCGCGGAGAAAAATACATTGAAAACAGTATTAATAAAATGCTAGTGCCTTGGAGCAATATTTTCTTGCTGTTACTGACTGGTGTGTGTAAATCATAATTTACATTATAATACGTATGAGTATGCCATTTGCCCACATTAAAATCTGGATATTTGTATGAGTGATTTGTTACCAACCAATTATATTAATAATATGTGATAACATAGTGTTAGCTAGCTGAATTAGCTAGAAGTAGCTCACACACGTGAGTGTATTATAATCGAACTCCATTTCCTCGATACAACTACTAAGAATTAATAGGACTTTCATCTTATTGATGATTTAAATAGGTTACATTTTTAATATTTAAAATACTCCACGAAGGCTACAGTTCGATGTTGTATATTTCTCTTGAGGTTGATATTGCATCGTGTTCCCGACTATGGTATGAGATTAAGTACACAACTTGATAGAGTGTAAGTATGATAAATTAAAAGCAATTTCCTATAGAGTCGTATTCGAGTTGCAGACCACCGCAACGTGACATGTACAGTAAACGACGTCTTAAGCTCGCTTATAGACTATCCTCGATTTTTCAGTAAAATTCAATAAACTGTGATTCATTGTCGAGTATAATATTTCGGTATCGCCCGAATTATGGCCGTGATAAACGTTAATGGCACAGACTTACGTGGTCAGTTGAGTAATAACGAGGTAAAATAAAAATGTTTAATAATACCTATGTTGGAGGAAAGGTTATTTTTTTATAATATTTAAGTCCAGTAAAATCGAAGACTAGGTGTCGACAATTGTTTGAGCGCTATTGCACGTATTTATTTACTCCGAATTATTCGTTAAGGCTTTTAGCCGATAAAATCGAACTGTATTATCAATTTCAACAACAAGATATACAAAAATAATAGTCATAATGATAACGATAATTAAATCAGTGTACATCATTCGTGATGCGATTGAAATGTAAAATTAAATTTTCAAAAAAAGGAAACACAAAAAAAAAATGAATAAGAAACATTGGTCGGTTGCTTTGGGCTTTCTTTGCGGGTGCATGCACACCTCGCCAGTGGTATATAAATTATAATAGCGTGTTTGAAATTCGGTCATGACCGGTGAGGCGCGAACGCAATTACCCGCGTCCTATATGTTGTATGTACAGGATCGCCGCTGCACCAGCGAAGTCAAAAACTTACGGCCACTGCAGCCACTGTGTAAAGTATTATGTCGTCCGCATGCTGCTGCCATATAATATACTAAAACTACCACCGGTGACGGCGCAATATTAATTACTGCGACAACCCACCGCCGCGGGTCCGTGCGATCCGCTTGGGCGTTAATAAATGATTGATCGCGACGACGTCGTCGCTCGCCGTGGTCGCCGAGCAGCAAATAAAATACAAAAAAAAAAAAAAATGTCCGAGTGCGGAACATAATAATAATTTTATTACACGTGTGTACCTACAACTCAGCTACACCATAATAATACATCATAAACGCAGATCGTGACCGTAACCCAACGCGTATTATGCAGCCACGCATAGAGTGCTAAGCGTGTACAATATATTATTATACATGGTATTATACGTGAATGATAACAGTTTTATTATACACTCATTTTATGGGTAGGTACTTAGAGTATTTTCGCTATTCACTTATGAGTGCACGTGATACACGCATTATATTATTATATGTGTATACACATCCGCCGTCTGTCTAATGACCAACTTATAGCGAAACGTTCCACTATGGTAATTCGAAATTGTCGCGTTTAGGTCATTACAGTTAGACTAATTTTTAACACTTATATTGTCAAATGTTGAGAGGGCGAATATTGTAGAGAGGTAATAATAATATCCTTTTTATATGCAATAAAATATCGTCTAACGGCGTTTTTCTTACGCATCAATTATCATGTTATTTAGTTTTGAATTTTTAAAAATATATTTTATACCTATACTGAATAAGTCAATTAAATCTAGGCAGTAATTAATAAACCGAATCATTGACGAATATGTAATCCATTATAAACTTTGTATCTGTAAATAAATTATCAGCTTAACATAATATACATAAATCCATAATATTATAATATATTATACTATTTGCAGCATAAAACGTAATATATTATGTACCTATACGTTATATTACGTATGATCATAAAAAAAAAAACATCACTGCTACGACAAATAAAAAACTTTACTGCTTTCTCACGATTTACATTTCATGAAATTATACCAGATCATTCCTCATGCAATAACGATTAAAAATAGAACAAATTTTTTTTCATGAAATTCTCGTGACGTTAAGTAGACCCTACAATCAGGCCAAGATATACATTAAAGATATGTAACGGTTGACAATGTATGACGTAACTATTTACTCATGTATACATCCTATGTCAACTTGGCGGTGTGTGTGTGTGTGTGTGTGTGTGTATGCCATGTTAAAGACATAGGTATATAAATCGCGATTTACTCAATTACGTTAGATGACTCTGTACAAAATCCCATTGAAAATCGGGTTGTCCTCCGTTTGTAGCTCTTATAGAGTAAGCTCCTACGCGCTACTTTATAATTGTTCTTAACATAATATAGGTAAGTTCCCACAGATAGTTCAACGTGATTTTCACCGGGGGGTAAATATATGACAGTGGTATCTACTATCATTAATACTGAATGATATTATAAAAAATAAATATCATATATATTTACTGAAAATATTATTTCATACTATTTAAACTGGAACTATTATTTTTTATTATTTTTTACGTTTTTTCATACCGACTACACATGATATTTTGGTAAAAGCGGTATTGACATTAATAATCATGTACCTATATTTTGTAGTATCTGGGTCTTATGGTGACTAAAATTTTCGATTGAATTCCTTACTGCAAAAGTCCATATAATACGGTAATTACGACGGTACATAGGTATTTTTATAAACATTCTTTTGGGTGATTCGAAATTATTAATTATAAAAATGTTACGGTAACTGGTAAGTACATAGTTAAAGTTTTTAAATTCTTTTAATAACATGTTATCAGCATTGTACTAGGTATACACAAATTTGTTAACATGTTCTTGCCTTCGTCATTCGTATTATGTATTATGTATAAATATACATATTAGGTATACCATCATACGCCATAACAATTAACTAACACGAGTTATATCTTTTGTTGAAGTGAAATATAACAATTTTACAAATTTCAGATCCGACGATGTCAACGCACATGAGATCGTAATGTTTCCAGTACGATTAACTTGAACTATAAGTCAATTGCGATTTGCAATCGGTATAAGGCGATAGCAGTCAAAAAGTTCAAAAACGTATTAAAACTCGATGAACCGAATAAGACGTAGCAGTCAAGTGATAGAGAAAGGAAGAAAATATTATTTGAAATTATATATAGGTTTACAAAAAAAAAAAGTTGTTTTATTCTTTATTTTATATCTCATTTTTATTTCTATTAATTCGAAAGATAAAAATGTAATCATGATATTGACATTTTTGGCACATATACAAGGCGATGCATCAATCATGATAACTTTATTTTTTATTCATTAATACAGTTATTCAAAATCTGATTATTGGAATGTTTAAATACATATGTAGTTTGACCATATTTCCAAATTCTTATGATGTTTTGTTCTATTTTTGTACAAAGTAGTATCCTGTGGGCTGTGGAGATACAAACTTCAATTTTTCAAGATAATCCTCTTTTTCCACCACAAATTATTAATAATTCATTTTAATTCATTCGACTAGCAAATAATTACATTTTCAATAGAGTTATTCCAAAAAAATTTTACTGCCTTGAGCTACTTTTGACCATACAAATAGATGTACCTATAACGTACTCATTAGTTTATTAATCAATGGCATTATCGATGTATTTTTACACTATTTATTTATTTATGATCAATAACCTTGGTTTTCAATAACATATTTATTTGCTTATTAATAAAAATGTAAATATATTTATATATAGCTATAACCTATGATTGAAATGTATGATATTTATTATTTTACATTTCAACTTTTAAGTCGATTATCAGCCATCACATATATTTTATTTATTTTTATTTGATACTTCATGAAATTAATTTTCAACTTACCTACTCATAATATTTCACGAACATGGCAAAAAAAACGAAAACGCTAGAAATACGGATCTCTAATAATCTTCAATAATTGAAGTTTCTACGAACGAACAATGAATACTTCACTCCACATTTATCAATGTTTATATTTAGATAGCCACGTTCACACTCCATAAAGAAGTTTTGAGATTTAAACCAAATTCTG